TACAATAGGTTGTACAAAATAACCGGAAAAAGCCTATAATAACTAGATAGGAAAGTCATGTGTTGGACACATCAGATTTTTATTATTTGTTCACATTAAAGACAAACGTCTAACATCTATAGAGCATAGTGGGATATACTATAGGCTTTTTTATTTTTTTTTTGTCAATAAACGAAAATATTTGTCCTGATTTAGGCGAGACAGACCTCTTTTATATATATTTTTTTGCTCTTAAATGAATCCTTATTTTCTATTTGTCCTGCTTTCTACTTTTCAAAATATGTATAACAATATATTTTGTAAATCCCGATGGCATGGGATTTAGTAAATAATTTGATCATGCCCAGTAACGTCTAGCACTCTATCGTAACTCTCTGATAAGCTAAGAGCTTTATAGTCTCTTGACGATTCGTTGATTTGACGAAGAGGACATTTTAAAATTCAAAGCCTTTCTATAGGAATACAATTTCCACGAAAACTTCAACATGTACCCTACTAATAATTTTTGTAAGTTACGGACTTTTTAAACTTAAAAGTACTCATTTCTCTCAAGTTTTTCATGTGAAATGTCATATGTCAACGTGAAAACAGTATTTTTAAAGCCAATGAGAAATAATGAGAATACAACTTCTCTCGAAATAAATCAAAAGAAACAGTCTGCGAGTTTTCACTGACTTTAAAAGTACTGTTATTACGATGACGTATGACATTTCTCATGAAAATTTTGAGAGAAATCATGCACTTTCTCTCGAGTTTGAAAATAGCCTCCCAGAAATTGCTAGCCGGTGGACTTATTGTTGTGGCCTCCATGTTAAGTGAATACAATGGTCTTGAGATATTTGGCATATTGGTAAAAACTGTAAATGTGAGTCGATGTTGTAAATTACGTGTTTGTAAGGCACTAATATACTTATCCATGTCATTTAAAAAAGTTTCTATACCGTCATAATTTTTTTAAAGACTAAAGCTTTTTATAATGAAACTGAAGTAAATTTCTAGAATTTAAGATAACAAAGAGAATATTTATGATTATTTTTAAATCTAATTTTTGCACCAACTGCAGCAAATTCTCTCATTTTTAATTCATCTTTACAAAACCCTAATATGGTTACAACACTCTCACTCAAAGCACAATTAATATCTCAAATACGGCCCTGCACATTGTTTGCTTGTTGATTATTTAGTTGTGGAATGTTATTTCAGATAATTTCTTCATATAAATATCTATTATGTTATTTATTGTTTCGGCCTTTACTTGATGAAAATCCATTTAATTTTGAAAGAGTAAAACCAAATTTGGTAGATTTTCACACTTTTATTTTAAAAATAAAAATTTTTAAACAAACACTAACATGACATATGTTTCGAAGTACAACTTCTTTTTCAAATGTGACTATTTACAATTCGGTATCCAATATATATACAAAATAATTTAACAAAACAAAGTACTTAAGAAAACATCAATAACATTACAAAATAAACTAACTATTTAAAGTAAATAAGGGTACTTAGGTAATTATAATATCCATCAAATAACAATAAGATAGCCCATTACCGGGATTATCTCACAGAAAACTGGGAAAGAGGTTTAATAAGGGTGAATTATTAATATCTAATTGATCATTTAGTAAGTTATCTGAATTTTTAAATCTATTTATTTCAAGTGTTTCTAAATGGTTTAATTTAAGGCTCTTATTTTCTACATGTAAAATTTCAAAGTTGAAGCTGAAAATCATTCTTTTACAGACAACTTTGAAATTTTACATGTAGAAAATAAGAGCCTTAAATTAAACCATTTAGAAACACTTGAAATAAATAGATTTAAAAATTCAGATAACTTACTAAATGATCAATTAGATATTAATAATTCACCCTTATTAAACCTCTTTCCCAGTTTTCTGTGAGATAATCCCGGTAATGGGCTATCTTATTGTTATTTGATGGATATTATAATTACCTAAGTACCCTTATTTACTTTAAATAGTTAGTTTATTTTGTAATGTTATTGATGTTTTCTTAAGTACTTTGTTTTGTTAAATTATTTTGTATATATATTGGATACCGAATTGTAAATAGTCACATTTGAAAAAGAAGTTGTACTTCGAAACATATGTCATGTTAGTGTTTGTTTAAAAATTTTTATTTTTAAAATAAAAGTGTGAAAATCTACCAAATTTGGTTTTACTCTTTCAAAATCTATTATGTTGCTAAAAATACGTTGAGCACAAGCAACCAATGTTTAACTTTTAATATGTACAATATATTTAGTTTGCAAACATAAAAATAGAAAAAAACGTTGATTGAAACCACGATTTCATATCGAAATAGTTAATTTAAATTTTTTATCACAAAAAAAAATTAAAAAAGCAATATATCCAATTTTTTGTTTTATCTTTTTACTTTTTTTGCGTTTCCTGGGCAGAGATAGGTATAGACATTGCTTCATATAAAAAAAGTATATAAAATTTCATTTAAAATGAGATAAAGAAATGATTTGAATAAAACAATCTGAGATATAGCCGCTATTTCTGTTTAATTTTATCGCGTTTACCTTGACATCGTTTTAGTTCTCATTTTTTTAAATAATTTATTTTTTAATAAAAAAAAGTATTTTTAGCTTTGCCCCATAAAGAGTAGATAAAATGAATTCTGAGGCAGATTCTATTTCTTTTTCAGTTGCATTGTCGAGTAAAAACGTTTCCATATAAGATTTTAATTGTAAAATATTTTAATTCATAAATTTCACATTTTTTTTTTTAATATTGAGACATAGTTATACACATTCATAAAAAGATTTAATTTTTATTAACAAATTAACTTAAAATACTTTTTTTATTGAATAAAAATCGAATTTTAATGCAGAAAGAAATATACGAATTAAAACGGTATCAAGGTAAATGACATAATAATAAAATAGCTAGTTTGAGTGACTATATCTCAGTCCATTTTTATCCAAAAAACTTTTTTAACCCACCATTTTAAAGGAAATTTAATCTACTTTTTTATATATGAAGCAATGCCTACACCTGTCTCTGCTCAGAAAACGTTTAAAAGGAAAAAAGTAAAATAAAACAAAAAATTTAATAAATTGCTTTTTTAAATTCTCTATTTTATATATTTTTTAAATAAAAAAAAAAAATTAAATGAACTGTTTCGATAAGAAATCGTATTCTATACAAAACAATTCGTGAATTTTGCTTCGTTTTCAACTTGTAATTTAAAAACTGTAAGGGGTTGCATTTTTACCTCTTTTTCCACTCTCTAATTCAATAGCACTCCGCAGTTTTTTCATCTTTAATGACCATTTGAATGATACATTAGATAAAAATCCGCGATGGTAATAGTTCCGTATTGTCCCCTTTTTTAGGACATAACTTAATTGTCAAATGATTTAATCTGACAAATCATTTAAGAAATGATCGATGTGATATTAGTTTACAGTTATCGCCAAGAAAATGATAGAATATAGTAGTAAGTTATTCACAAGAAAAGTCATGAGCCATAAAATGCCTGTGTGTAAGTATGCTTTTTTTTATAACACAAGTCATAAAAGTAATACCCCTGAGCTGCCCCCTTACTAACAAAAAAAAAATCATAGAATTCGGACAAGCTGGTAAAGAATTACCACTAAACATTCATAAAATATGAAGAGTGAGGATTTTCTCATGGACCAAATTATTAGATTTTGACCAAATTTATATGGGACCACCCCTGAAGTACTCCCTTTTTAACAAAAAAAGAATCCTTGAAATCGGACACCCTGTTAAATAATTATCGCTAAACATATATTAAAAAAAAAAATTCGGCCAATTGGGAACCTCCTTTTTTGAAGTCTGTTAAAAAGACTAAACAATTATTTAATTAATATTTTGAAAATTGTAGAGAAAATATGTGACATTTTATATATTTTGATTTATTTGAATAAACACAAGTAGTTATTTCAAATATTTAAAAAAAAAAATTATCAACTGTTTTTGCTCACTTAAATAATTATAATTCTTGTATACCCAGACAGCACACCAAATCCTTTGGATATCTACTGGACATCCCAATATCCACTGAATGTCCAGTCCATGATGGATATCTATTTTATATTCATGAGATGTAATTATATAGCAAATTATTAAAAAATTACGCCATTGTGGCTAATAGTACTGTTCAGATATTTAAAATTAATTTTTTTGAGGTGTATTCAATATCCCATTGAATATCTACTCATGCTCAACCCGCCATAATTGAGTTCGATCGAAATTGGTATCACAATCAGACTCCATTAGAGACTGGAGTCGAGAATTTCCATTTATTGCTGAAGAGTCCTAATAAGGATGACTTTCTCCTTAGTGGCAAAATCAAAGGCAGAGTGTTGAAAATATTGTTTATGTTATTTTCTTATTTCAAAGTTATTCAATAATAATCATTGGTTACTTATGAACCTCTACTAAAGATACCCATGAAATATTTTGCTGATTATCCAAATATATACCCTGGGATATAGACGGACATTTGGATATCCATATTAGATCCACTGGATATCCACAAAATATATTATGTGAATATCTCTGGGATTTCTTGTATTGTCTGGAAGATACCCTTTAGATGTTTTGCTGGATATCCTTAAGATATCTTCTATATTCTGGATATAGAGGGACATTTGGATATCCACAAAATATATTCTGTGAATATCTCTGGGTATCTATGCAACCAATATTACGTTTGTATTGTTGGTTGCATAACTTATAATGACATTATTTAGAAAATCATATTTTTCTCAATTCACCACTATTTGTTGAGAAGTGGTTTTCTTATTATAGCTTGTTAGTTTTCAAAAAAGTGTTATTTTGTCATGAATTGAGTGAGAGTAGAACAGTGTTTTTGATTATTTTGTGCAAATTTATGATATAAAAACAGAACTATTACTAAGTTGTAAGTTCATTAACAAACTATATTTCTATAAAGCCAACCTTTATTCTTTCAATATGAACTTTTAAAGCAAAATTGGTTTACGTTTGTTTTCTTTTCGTAACTGATGACATAATGAATTTTTAGTAACCTTCATAAAGTTAAACTTTATATAACTGGTTCCATAAAGTAGATCGTTTTGACACTTGCTGGGATTATAAAAGATGTCACTTTATATATCAAAAGTAGAAAACGGAATGTTTTTAGTGCAATATATTTTTAAAGAAATTATATTTACATAATAAATAACTTAAGAATAATTTTGCTTCGCTAAATAAGGATTGAATTGGGTATTGTACTTAGCCTTGAAACTAGATGATTCTTTTGGTTTTTCTTGGTCTTTTTTTGGATTCAATTTATCAAGCAATGCTTCGGTTTTTAACCTTTCTTCCTTCTCTCTTCTTAGTCGTTTTGTTCTCAATAGTTCCTCTTGTTTGTGCCTTTCTGATCGTTCTCTATCATCTTCTGAAGACTCTGAACTGGAATGTCGTCTTCTTTTTCTACTCTTTTTGTGCTTTTTATGTCTATGTGACCTTCTTTCAGAATCCAATGGTTTTGACCTATCACTAGAGTATCTATTGCTTGAGACAGTGGTGGTACTGGTACTACTACTGGTATGTTGAATCGAATCTGTACATTTATAAACATAGTTTAGTTTTCTTATTGTAGTGAGAGGATCTTCACTTATTTTGCTTTTTAAATTTACTTCATTCTTTACTTCTGATCTATCGGGTGCCATGTCGTACCAATTTTTCTTTCCTAAGGCCTCATTGGTGTCTTGTCCCAAATAAGTTAAATAACCAATTTGTTTCTCGTACTTCTCTTTCTCGTCCTTCTTCTCTTTCTCATGTTCCTTATTTATCTGTTTCTGCTCCGCCGTGCCTTCCTCGAGTTCTTCAAAGAAATTAATGTGCCTGTTAGGTTCCTCAGCATCTTCGACTTCCGCGGTCTCTGTGGGCAAAAAATTGTCGTTCGACGAGCGATTCCTTTTCAATAAAAGTTCACGTCTAGCCTCTCGTTCAGCAAGCTGTATTCGTTCATTTTTGACTTTTTCTTCCTCCAAAGCTATCGCTTCGTCTCTTCGAACTCTCGCTATATTTTCTTTTGTCCGTACATGCCACTTCTTTTTAGGTAAAATATTCATGGCTTTAAAATTTTAAATTCAATAATCAATATTGATGTAATAACTAATAATTATTAGAACCTCACATTAGTCGCATTTTATGTCATGGACACCACTGTCACAGAACACTATCGACATCACAAAACACTCATCTTTCACCTGTCACCCGGAGATTATTGCAGTGTTGCCACAAGCTTCTCTTTGATTAGTTTGATTCTATGCCACATAATTATGTGTTCTACGCAGACAGATAACGGCAGATAACCAAATTCTCTGAAAACACAAGAGGTTCTCACCCACATACTTTGATTTTCTTTTACTATAGTCATTGCGTTCGGTCTGCCAAGTTCCTTTAACTCCTTTCACTTTTAACTCCAAACGACCCTTTTAGCGTTCGGTTTAATCCGATTAGTGACAGTTTAACACGCTTAAATGTCATTTAAAAGCACCCTAAAATTTGTCCCGCTCCAGCCCCTGACTATCCGAACTCGCCTACGGACAATGGTCGCACTGCGCAGCTTTCTGAGTGCCTTTTAAAAGGAGATAGAAAACTCCACCATTTTGAACCCTTATTACGTGTTGCCTACATCTTGGCGCAATATTTTTAATAGGTGCGTTTTAATCATCCGCTTCTGCTTCGGAATTGTCAGTTTTCTTGTTTTAATCTGACAGGTTAAAACGACTAAACCGACAATTCCGGAAGCAGAAGCGGATGATTAAAACGCACCTGATATTTTGCTTGCTGCTGTCAGTGTCAGTGAATATTATTTTTGGAGTCACAGTTTATTGCTAAAGAATCAGTTAGCTCACTCGGACCAGTTGAAAGTTCCAAAATAACATCCACTCCAAGAATACAAATTTAGGATACGCAGAAGACTGCTGTTTTATTATAGGCGGTTGTCATATATAGTATTATCTGAGTTGTGCAGTGTATAAACTGGAACATTGAGATAAAAAGTGCCGACGCAGAGTGAGCGATCTGATTCTTTAGCTATAAACTGTGTCATAGGGTTCAAAATGGCCGCGCCCTATGTTGGGCGTGTCGGACCTCTCTCTTGCCCCGTATAGTAATCAAATGCTGCGTTTGAGAATCCACATCGGATGCATCTGAGATGTAAAAAATCTTTGATCACGTGATTCAGTATACGTAAATGTAATGGGACAGATGTGTCCGATGTGGATAAAAAAACGCTCGAGACGTAAAAAATGCATCCGATGTGGATTCTCAAACGCAGCAACAGTATGTGTTGTAATGTAAAAATGTCACTTTAAACTTCGTTTAACACAACGGTGGAATCGATCCTTAGGGCCAATTCCACCGTTGTGTTAAACGGAGATTAAAATGACACTGTTAATTATAATGTAAAAATTTCATTTTAAACTTCGTTTAACACAACGGTGGAATCGGTCCTCTGTGAGGACTATCTTAGGACCGATTCCACCGTTGTGTTAAACGGAGTTTTAAATGACATTTTTACATTAACAATGTCATTTTAATCTCCGTTTAACACAACGGTGGAATCGGTCCTTAAAGAAATCTGTTTAAATAATGACAGAAATAAATTAACGAATAAGAAAATATTTTTAAAGGCCGCCAATATTTAACCGGCCGTTAAAATATAAAGGAATTGTTACAGAATAGACCCCAAAGACGGTTGGATCGTCGTTGAATAAATTCTCCGGAAAGTGGATTTGATTACTTATATGTATTACGGCCATTAAAAATTAAAATTTGAAATGCCCTCTTGTCTATTAGGCATTCCAATGACCTGTCAGTTAAGATCAAAAACAATTTGTTTGTTGCAGCCCCTACAGCTGGGGGTCGATTCTCGACTTGTAGGAACCTTTTCCTATAGGAATTTGTGACACTTTCCTATATGTAGGAAAATGTCATAAATTTTCGATGTATATAAAAATGTCAAAAATTCCTATAGGAAAATATTCCTACGAGTCGAAAATTTATGACATTTTCCTACATATAGCAAAGTGTCACAAATTCCTATAGGAAAAGGTTCCTACAAGTCGAGAATCGACCCCCAGGGGGTCGATTCTCGACTCGTAGGAATAATTTCCTATTAGGCATTCCAACGACCTGTCCAAATGGCTACCAGTGGGTAATGACAGTTTAGATATGGCAACCCTGTTGTCAAGTTGTCATTAACAGGGTCAATGATACATATATAGTTATATAGATTGCTCAAAGCTGGTCGTTTACGAGCGGCCATATTGCGTGGCAAATATTTATTAATTTGAATCGGTTTAGCAAAAATGTGTTTTAAAACCAATTATTAGCCTTTAGATATTTAAAAAAAATAATTGCTTACATTTTTACTTCAAGTCATAAGCTTATGTTTATTTTGAAAAATATGGATGATCAATCTATGTAACTATCTATTTCATTGACATTGTGAAATCACCAGGCCTACAGGGTTGCCATAATTTTGCCATATCATAACCCACTGGTAGCCATTCAGTTTGGAATGCCTAATAGGAATTTTTGACATTTTTATATACATCGAAAATTTATGACATTTTCCTACATATAGGAAAGTGTCACAAATTCCTATTAGGCATTCCAACGACCTGTCCAAATGGCTACCAGTGGGTAATGACAGTTTAGATATGGCAACCCTGTTGTCAAGTTGTCATTAACAGGGTCAATGATACATATATAGTTATATAGATTGCTCAAAGCTGGTCGTTTTCGAGCGGCCATATTGCCTGGCAAATATTTATTAATTTGAATCGGTTTAGCAAAAATGTGTTTTAAAACCAATTATTAGCCTTTAGACATTTAAAAAAAATAATTGCTTACATTTTTACTTCAAGGCATAAGCTTATGTTTATTTTGAAAAAAATGGATGATCAATCTATGTAACTATCTATTTCATTGACCTTGTCAAATCACCAGGCCTACAGGGTTGCCATAATTTTGCCATATCATAACCCGTCAAAACCCACTGGTAGCCATTCAGTTTGGAATGCCTAATAGGAAAAGGTTCCTACAAGTCGAGAATCGACCCCCTGGACAGAAATTGTTATTGTGCGAACTCGACACGTTACGTGTTGAATAAAGAGAGACATTACATAAGAATCGTAGTCTGTCGAAAGAAGATAGGCGTCTAGGAAAGATAATAATCTCACTGCTGGTTGGCAAAATTAAAGGCTTTTAAAAAAGGGTCAATTATAAGGATTATGTATTATTGTCGGTCGCCGTATTCTACAAAAGGCGAGTTCGGTCAGTCAGGGGCTGGAGCGGGACAAATTTTAGGGTGCTTTTAAATGACATTTAAGCGTGTTAAACTGTCACTAATCGGACTAAACCTAACGCTAAAAGGGTCGTTTGGAGTTAAAAGTGTTAAAGGAACTTGGCAGACCGAACGCAATGAAAAGAGGATTAAAAGATGCCGTTTTCTTCTTTTCGCTTATTTGCCTTTTTTCTACATGCTACTTCAGCCAATCGAATATTGATATAACCTCACTTAATTTTTGTTTACCTGAAGTAATAGATTTTTATAATTGAATATTAAATACAAAAAAATAACTATGAATGAATCATTTAATGCTGAGCCGAAAACGTACTCAAGACTATTCGACAGAAGTAAAATGAAAAGACGAAGAAGCAGTGGCGTAAATACAGATAGAAAATCACCAAAACGGGAAAGTATAACGGCTCTAATTGTTGATAATGGAGCTTACAATATTAAAGTCGGCTTATCCAGGGATGAATCTCCGTCTATCATACCTAATTGCATTATGAAAGCCAAATCGGAGAGAAAAAGATTGTTTATAGGCAATCAAATAAACGAATGTAGGGATTGTTCAGGTTTGTACTTTCTGTTACCCTGTGAAAGAGGGTATATAACTAAGTGGGATGTTCAAAAACCGGTTTGGGATCACATATTTAGTAGAAATGTGTATCCGGTGGACGAAAAACCAGTTATAATGACCCAACCTTTGTTCAATTTCATGTCTATTCAGGATTGTATAGATGAAATATTTTTTGAGGAATACGAAGTGCCATCGATGTTCCGATTAAATCCTACCGATTTAGCTCGTTTAAAATATACAGAGGATCAAAAACTACCTGAAACTACTCCATGCATAATTGTGGATTCGGGATTCAGTTTCACACACATCGTCCCATATATCAAAGGAAATAAATATTTAAGAGGTATAAGAAGATTAAATGTGGGTGGGAAATTATTAACTAATCATTTGAAAGATCTCATTTCATATAGACAGTACAATGTTATGGACGAAACTTATGTTATTAATCAGGTAAAGGAGGATACTTGTTATGTAGTGGAAAATGTCATAGAAGAGTTGAAACTAGCATCAAAAAAAGATAATTCTATTGTTAAAAATTATGTCTTGCCGGATTTTAATAACATTCGCAGAGGCTACATACAAGATCCCAGTGATACCAATCAGAAGGAAAAAGAAGAAAATTGTCAGATATTGAGATTAAATAATGAAAGATTTGTGGTACCAGAAATTTTATTTCATCCATCTGATATTGGAATGAAGAGTATGGGCATAGCTGAGGCTGTTGTAGAATCTATTCTTAGCTGTCCTAAAGATTTTAGGAAAGATATGTCAAAACATGTTATCCTTGTAGGCGGAAATTGTAAATTTCCTGGTAAGATATTCATATTGTAATTCAACAAGTCTTTTTTTAATCTAAACTTATTTTTCAGGTTTTAAAGAACGAATGTATGCAGAATTAAGGTCGCACTTGCCTTACGAATGGGAAGTAAACGTATTTTTACCAAAAGATTCAATTACTTACTGTTGGGAAGGTGGTGCATCTCTATTGAAAGTGCCCAATTTTAAAACATTTTTAGGTAAGTAGGTTACGGATACCTTACAAGTAAGAGGCCACTTGAAAGATGTGGTGTTATCTGCCAACCAACTTCTATCTATCTATCAGAATTATTGCGTGGTTCAAAGTCCACTTGTACTGAAGCTCTAGGCTTATTGTACCCCTCACAGTTTCTATCCCATCAGATTGATTTTCTTGATGAATTCAAGAATATGTGAATAGGAGTTTCGTTCTCTTCACATATTCTACATAAGGAGTCATCAGATATCCCTAAGAGATTTAGGTGTCTTCTAAGGCCGCAGTGTCCCGTAAGGAGTCCTATTACGGCCTTGAGTTCGCTTCTGCTAAGGTTTAGCAGTTGATGTTGTCTGCTCGTGGATGGCCCCTCTATGAACCTTTTGGACTGTCTAAGTCCAGGAAGTTCCTTCCAGAGCATATGGTGTTCTCTTTTTATTTGTTCCTTTAACACCCATTTAACATGTTGGTATGAGATACCACATGTGGGATCTGGCCCAATACGAGTTTTTTCCGCTCCCTTCCTTGCTAGGAGGTCTGCTTTCTCGTTTCCAAACACTCCCTCGTGTTCTGGCACCCATTCAAGGGTGACCTTGTTATGTTCTGCCAGGGCCTGGAGGGACTGTTGGCAATCAAATATTGATTTAGATTGTACTTCTACCCTTTTCAGTGCTTTAAGGGCTGCCTGACTGTCTGTCATGATAACGATCCTCTTATCTCTAAGAGAGTCATTTAGCATGACTTTGGCGCAGGCATTTATTGCTGTTACTTCAGCCTGGAAGACTCTTGTCAGTGACCCCAGGTTCAAACTAATTGTCCTCCCTGAGTTCACATGGTAGATCCCAGCTCCTGTGCTGTTTTTTATTTTCGCACCGTCTGTATACCAGATTGATTCGTTTTTCCCTATTTTCCCAGCCTTTGGCCCTTTCTGGTATTTGAATATCAAAAGGTTTCCTGAAATCGTGAATAATGGACGTTCTATCCGATGGAATTCTTAGTACCGGATTTTGTTTTAATTTCTCTAATATTGTGTGGTGTCCTTTTCTCGAAAGTTCCCATCCAAATCCATTAGTAAACAGCCTGTATGCCGCCGCCATAGCCTCATTCTCCACCACAAGGTGTAGTGAAGGAAGACCTAGCAGTAGCTCCATTGCTGCTGTGGGCGTAGTTCTAAATGCCCCTGTTATTATTAGACAGGCTAGTCTTTGTACCTTGTCTAATTTTCTTTTAGCTGTTATGCTTTTAGTCTTGTGCCACCATATGACTGATGAGTAAGTTATAACAGGTTACAACCATAGTGTAAAGCCAGTGCATCATACTTGGTTTAAGCCCCCATATGTTCCCTACCATCTGTCTACAGGCCCATAGTATTCTTACAGCTTTTTCTGTTGTTTTTTATATATGGCTGCAGAAGCTAAGCTTGTCATCAAGAGTGATTCCAAGGTATTTAACCTCTTGCCATTTTTAGATGTTGTCCCCACATATAAAGCTCCTTCATTCCTTAAAGGTTCCTTTTTCTTGTGAATGCAACAACAGAGGTTTTTGTCGGGTTTGTGGACAATCCCTCTTTTAGGCACCATCTTTCGACGATATTTAGTGCCCGTTGCATCCTTTCGGATACAACAGTCCCAAATTTACCGTTTACTATGATGCTTATGTCGTCTGCAAATGCTTGCATGTATAAGTTTTCTCTCTCTAACTCCCATAAGAGGTCATCAACCACCAAGGTCCACATAAGAGGAGATAACACTCCTCCCTGCGGGCATCCCTTGTTAACTAAGACCTCTCTTGTTGTGTTAAGGAGATTACTGGTAATGGTTCTATGATTAAGCATGAACTCTACCAACTTCGTAATGCAGTGGACTACTCCACGCTTTTGCATATATCCCAGTATTGAATTGTATGAAGCCGAGTCAAAGGCCCCTTCTATATCTAGGAAGACTCCTAGTGCCATTTCTTTGCTTTCCAATGCTTGTTCAGCCTGTTGAGTTAGCCTATGTATGGCTGCAGCGCAAGACTTTCCAGATTGGTAGGCAAACTGGTATCGATGTATCCCGTAAAACATCGTCCCTTTATATATCTATCGATCAATTTCTTCAATGTTTTTAGGAGAAATGATGTTAGGCTGATTGGTCTGAAAGATTTGGTCTCCTCGTTGGACGCTTTCCCGGGTTTGGGAATGAAGACCACTCTTGCACACCTCCAGCTTTGTGGAACATATCCAAGGGCTATGCTAGTTTACACAGTGGTCCCTCCAGTACTTCCTGGCTCTTTTGTAGAAGTGCCGGGATTATACCATCAGGTCCAGCTGTTTTGTATGGTTGAAAGGAATTTATCGCCCACACAAGTTTTGTTCTGTTTACTATTGAGTTTGCAAGAGACCAGTTTGTTTTTGAGGCCCTAGAAATTAGTGCCTCAGTACTCCTGTTCTCTTGGTCAAGAATAATCTCACATCCAGGAAAGTGTGACTTTAGTAGTAAATCTAAGGTCTCTTCCTCTGTTTTTGTGAGTTCGCCTTGTTGATTTTTCAGAGATCACATGCATCCTTGCTTATCTCTCTGTAGAGTTTTCCTGAGCCTGGCACATTCTGGAAGGCTTTCAATGCTTTCTTCCAGGAAATTTCTTTGGCTTTCCTAATGGCATAACCATATTCTCTCTGGTATGCCTTATAGGCTTCCCAATTCCCCGACCTTTTAGACAGGGGAAAGAGTTTACGAACGTTTGCTCTTTTTTTGGAAAGGTCTCGATTCCACCATACAGCGTCTCGATTCTCTTTCCTAATTTTTAAAGGACAGTTTTTTTCAAACGAGTTGGTTAGGGTTCGTGTCAGAAACTCTGACATAAACTCAACTTCTACTGAATTCTTCGGTATCGGAGGACAGTTCTCCAGTCCCTGTTTGAGTTCTTCCTTGAAAGCTCCCCAGTTACAGAGAACTTTATATTGAGGTTATATTATTTTAATTTTTAAATTTTTTAGTTACAAAATCTGAATACGAAGAACTTGGATCGACTATCATCCAACAAAGATTTAACACTTGGATGACCGATAACTCAGAACCTGAAAATCAACAAGAAAAAACTGAAGAAACATTTTGTTATTTGGATAAAATCAAAGGAAAATCGATTTTCGGTAAACAAGAACTGGGCGGGAATGATTTGAAACCAGACGATTCAAATATCGCCACAGATTCCGAAAAAAGTAATGCTATGGGGTTGGACGTTAAGGCAGAATCTAGCGAAGGTGCTGATCAAGCTCAGGAAACAGCTCAGTCAAGTGAAAACGATAAGGTGAAAAGATCGGTACAGAAGAATAATGAAAGTTCAGAGAGTAGCTTTGATGAATCTTCTGACAGTTTTCACAATGAATTGATAAATTCAGTTGAACTATTCCCTTTTGGTACTGATTCTTATTTGTGAAATTAAACGTATTTTTGATTTGATTCCCTCGTTTTTGTATTTTTTGTTCTTGTTCAAGTATAATCGATCTATTGCTTGTTTACATTTGAGAAAGAAAATGATTTTGGTAACAAAACTAATATTACTATAATAAAAGACTAATGACAAATGTTCTTATTATACTAATTGTTAAATAGTACTAAAATTTTAATCTTAATCACAAGATCCATCTGCCCATCCATCCCTCCACCTTTCGTTTACTTTTGAACAATCAAATTCCTCTTTTCCAATCTTAACATTCACTCTGTTGTGCAGCCTACATAGCCACTGACTTAATGCTTCCTGGGACTCTGTTCGTGGAGGGTTCTTTAATAAACTGAAAATAAATATTAGACAATTATAAGTTTCAAATAATATCTACCTTTGAATTACTCTTCTTTTAAGTCTTCAGCACAATGTTGACAGGGATATAATTTCGAGAACAGTGTGAAGAATTCTCGCATTGTTGTTTTATCTTTAGGTTGAGGATTTTCAGGATATTTGGCTGCTATTGTATGTAGTAAACCCCAAGATTTGTTACCCAATTCCTCTCTATCTAAAGGACAATCAGGTCTCCTTGGGGTATCGCCGCTCTACAAATTGTATAATTTAATTGAACTATTAAAAAAAATAAAGAAATTCCAGACATACAAGGTATTTGCTGTACTTACCGATTTGTGTGAATCGTCACGTTCGCCTTCCTTATTCTTGGTAGATTTTTTAACATAATCTTTAAATGGTTGGCATTGCCTACACTGTTCGTTGTCTAAAGGGGTTGGACGACGTGACATATCATATACAATGCCACATAATAATTGAAAAATTAAATGCGAATTACTTTAAAAATGCTGATTAAATAAATGAAGGCATTACGATACGAATTTTGAACTAAATAGTGAAGATAGTTGCCTGTCACACTTGAAAGGTGACACGTGACAATGAATCATCCTATTGGCCTCTATTATTATTTGTAAGAGTTTAAAATATTTGTGGCTGTGTTTTATTCACAAAACAGTCCAATTGCGTAGAGTAGAAGAAGAAAATGATATACTAAATGTCAGTTGACGGGTTTGAAATGTGTGTTTGTTTATTTTTGTAACTAGTAGAATACCGCCACTTTTGGAAAAAAAATGTTAACATAAATATTACAATGGACGAAATAAGTAATTAAAAACTTTGTGTCAGTCGTTGTCTTTTAATAATAATATATATATTGTTTTCAGAATTACTTAAGAGAAAAAGAAAGGCCCAAAGTGAAGGAAACAATAGACAGCTGATCTCAATTTGTACAGATTTATCCGAATTATATATTAAAAGTGGACAATATGAACAAGCAATTGAGGAATATAAACGATTAGCCGATATATACAAATCAGAACGTAACCAAATCGAGTATGCAAAAGCAAATAGAGCTATTGGAGAAGCTTATTTGGGTTTGAATAATTATAAAAAGGCTCTAGAGCATCAAAAGTTACATTTGGGTAATTAAAATTTAACTAAATGGTATCATTAATAATTCAATGAGTTTTTAGAAATCGCCATATCAGAAAAGAATGATATAGAAATTCAAAGAGCATATGCTACAATTGGACATATATATTTAACAACTTATTTAGAAACTCAAGTGGATCCACAACAAAATTTAAATGCAGCTTATAAATATTTTATGAAAAGCATGAAATTATGTGACAGGTACTTTTTTCAATAACATTGATCTCTTTTTTATATATGTATATATTTATTATTTTTGTTCTTTGTTTTATATATAGTCTCAGTGCCGTAGTTGTCTGACATGCTTGTATTCATTTACAGGCAATTTTGTAGTTGAAGGCACACAGCTTTGAATCTTACAGCAGACCATGTGAATTTTTATTTAATTTGCATGGTTTATTATAGGATTTGATGGGTGCCATATTAGCAGTAATTTCTGTTGATATGACATCCAGTTTACAAATCACTATGATGGTGGGTGAGGTGTTCCGGGTTTTCCTCACCAGTAAGTCAAACGGCACTGTCAATTATCTTTAAGTTACCCCAGAGCGCTACTGCAAATAATAATAGCTGTCCCTTCCCCTACACAAGTTGCTTAATTGGCTTAAGGGGTTGAAATTCACTTTTAAAAGGGTGAATTGGGGAGAGTATTATTATATATTATATTTTTTGTATATAATTTACATCTTTTCTCTGTAATTTCTAGTCTAAAAGTTAAAAAAAAAACTATGCAATACAATAATTATTTATGTTCTAGTTTACAGGGCATAACTAAATTAGAAAAAGCTGATATGCAGGCTAGATTGTTGTCAAATCTTGGTTTGGTTAAGGACAGTTTGGGAGACTATAATAAAGCAGTGGAATTATTTACTACTTCTATTAATATCTGTAAAAGTAATGATATTTATGAACAGTTGTATCGAGGCTACATGTTGATAGCTTCATTGTTTGATAAGAAAGGTGACAGTGGCAAAGCTATGCATCATTACAACCTGGCAATTGATGCTGCAAGTAAGTTTATTATTTGTATATCCCATTTAGGTTACAATACATTGCTATATAGCAGGGGCACAAGTTGGAAAGGCTTTTGGTAGGTAGAGAGGCAGTAAACATCAATCCACGTCGGACAGCTTCGAGAATTTTGTTCATCTGCTAGTGCCGTTTTATAGAATAAATAATTTTAAATTGTTTCCGGCGGAACCGGACAATCGCATGTATTTATGGACTTTAAATAATAATTAAACATGTGTTATAATATCCAAATCATAATTCTACAAAATTTTAACAGCTATTTACAATTTATTAAACTATTTACTGGAAATTGTTATTAACAGCTATAAAATAATTTTGTATGCCAGTGTATTGCATCCACTTAAGATAGATCCGCCACAAACCTGTCATTTTATGTGTATAAAGTGGGAGAACTGGCAAAAGCCTTTCCAACTTCTGCCCCTGCTATAATAAGTATAATATAACATTTAACTACGGCAAACCAGTTGTCATTTTGAGTAAAATAATGAACCTTAATAACATTTTTATCAGTTTTTGAAAATAAAGGCACTACATTTGAAAAACGTGTTTCGAGTTTCTTTAAATTTCTTGGAATCTTGACCTGTTTTTACCATATTTTGAGTGTTTAAAGGTGGGTCGGACAATTATATCAGTTATTTCCTATTCTTAATGTGAAGATGATTATTGTAGAGAGTAGAAAAATTTCAGGAATATGTAACACATTTGCCATATATTAAAAGAATAATTCCTTTCATTATATTATGCAAAAAGATGTTTAAAATAAATAATTGTTGCTTAGCACTATAATATATCATACTTAAAATCATTTGTCTCAGAGATAAATTATTATATTTAAATTTAAGGCACCTTATTTAAACCTTTTTTTAATGAAAACAGGCCCGGGATGTATGTAAACATTTTACATCTGACATCCAAGCTAACTTGTCTGGTTCAACTTTTATTTATTTAAATGGGATCAACCCCATTACAAAGCAAAACACATATAAATGATACAGATAATTGTAAATTATCAATTAAATTAAAAAAATACAAGTAAGAGAAAAAAAAAGTTAAAATTAAGTCAAATAAGTTTTAGATTAATAAATGCATTTTAAGTATTGTAAATCCGTCTGTAATATTTAATTTTTACTCCAGTGTATTCGTACAGATTACCTTAAATTTATTAAAAGAAATGCCTGTAACCTCAAGATTCAATTGATTTATTACCCTTAATGTTCTTTCAATAGGTAAATGCATGCCATAGTTTGTATTGTGAAATGGAACATGGAACATATTTAATTGCCTAAGGATTCTATTAGGAATACTGAAAGAAATAATTTCTAAGAGTTCCGGGCATATGACTAGACCTTTTAATAATCTGTAGATAAAATTCAAATCTGATATGTCTCCTTTATTTAAGTCGGCTCATATTCATTTCATTTAAAATCCTAGTATAATTGTAATCGGTTACCCGAATATTTAATTTGAAGGCACAATTCTTAAGGCTGTATGTCACGATACTAAATTAAGTACTAAATTTAGCACTAAATTAAGTCATTAATTTAGTACTAAATTTAGAACTAAAAACATTTTTTTTCCGTTTGCAACGATACCAATTTTTAGTACTAAATTTACTATGGGCGCACGCGCATTGACGTATTAATACGTGAAATTAGCAGAGAAATGAAATATTCTGTGTAAAACAGACAAGTGAAGTAAATGGTGTTTTTATTATCAATTTGATACTAGTTGACTTGACAACCAAATACAGCATAAAAACCACGGAAAACACAATAAAACCTACAAAATCAAACAGGCGAACTTTATTCAAGGCGATAATGTGAAATTGTCGCTAATTAAAAATAAAAGGGTACAGAAAATACCGTCGTGTCAACTTTTTCTATGAAAAACTTCTGCGCAACATTTCGGCGCACTTTTAGTACTAAATTTAGTAGAAAATAGAACAAGATCTAATTAATTAATGACTTTTTTTAGTACTAAATTTAGTACTAAATTTGCTGTTTGCAACGTGAATTTTTTTAGTACTTAAAAAATGCATTAATTTAGTTCTAAATTTAGTACTTAATTCAGTATCGTGACATACAGCCTTTAGAAATTTATTTTGTATTTTTTCCACTGCTAGACAGTGTATATGATATTGTGACGATCAAATTATAGAAGTATACTCCAACTGAGGCACAACCAATGTTTGATAAACTCTTTTTATGGCTTCTAGAGAAAAATCAGAACAGTTATGCAATATTAACCCTAAGCATTGGGATGATTTTATTGAGATTGAATTTATATGTTCAATAAATCTTAATTGTTCATCTTAAAAATAACTCCTAAATCTTTGACTGAGTTAACCCGAGATAGTGGCTTATCATTAATGTAATATTGTGAGTTGCACTTTTTGTTTTCTTTAAAAAAGCTTATAAAGCAACATTTATTAACATTCAACTGTAGATTATTATGGTCGCACCATTAACTAAGTTGTTGAGATCATTCTGAATGAAGGCTGGATCGTTAGATGAGTAAATTGATCTATTCAACTTTAGGTCATCCGCGAACATTAAGAACTCACAATAAATCAAATCAAATTTATTTGTTTAAATATTAAAGTACATTACCTAATAGTAAAAAAATAGTTATACAGAAAAAAAAATTGTTTAGACATCTGATTGAGCATCGAACCTAGGCATTTCTGCCTGTTTTGCTTCTGATCAATCAGATGACTCTATTTATGTACATATTTTTTTTAGAGACAGGTATTAAATTTTACATATAATTATTTATCACTTAACAAAAGATACAATATTTAAAAATTAGAACAAGGGACGAAGAAATTCGACAGAATAAACTGATAAAAAGATAAATAAATGTTTAAAGCATTCTATTATATTTATTTATTTATTTATTTATTTATTTATTTATTTATTTATTTATTTATTTATTTATTTATTTATTTATTTATTTATTTATTTATTTATTTACGGGTCAGAGCCCATTAAAACAATACAATTACAGATAATACATATTACATACATTAAATAGTAATAAAATCCTAAATAATAATAATAAATTAATTTAAATACATAAATATTAAAAACAATTAAAAATTACTCCTCACATATACATAAATGGATAGAAAAATCTGATAATAATAATAAATATATTAAATAAAAGTGGTGAACAATGAGAGCCCTGTGGTACACCTAATTAATCTTTATCTATTACTACCGATTTTAACTTGCCGACTTTAACCTGTCAAAAAAACTTTTAAACCATTTCACCAGCTGAGATGGTATACCAAATGACTCTCTAGTTTCGTTAATGATATTTCATGATCAACCCTGTCAAACGCTTTAGCGAAATATGTGTAAACAGTCAACTTGCCCTTTAGCTTCTAAAACATTTAATATATTTTGTTTGTATAACAATAGATTTGTAACTGTAAATTTTTTTTGACAGAAGTCATGCTGGTTATTGATCAAAAGTTCCTTGTAGTGAAAATTAAGCTGTTCATTAATTTAGGTAAAGAATCCTAACGCTTCTATAATTATTTATATCAGTCCGTTCTCCTGATTTAAAAATCGGGATAACAAAACTGTGTTTCCAGATATCTGGGAAAACAACCGTATCTATAGATTACTTAAATAAAATGTAAGGGAAAAATGCAGTTTTTTAGAAATATATTTGGAATCCCGACGGGTCCTACACTATTTTTATTAGGAAGTTTAGATATTTTAACAAAAATCAACTCGGTAGAAAACAATTTGACAGGGAATGTTAATAAATGTGGCCAAATTACTATCATTATTCCTGTTTATATGAGAAGTATCAGTGTATACTGTACCAAAGTAATTTGCAAAATTTTCTACAATTTGTTCTCCATTTGCTGCTGGGTTACCATTATAGTGCATTGTGTTAGGTAAGCTATTACATTTCCTTTTACTTTTTATGAATGTACAAAAATATTTGGGACTATTGTATAAAGAGTGGTTTTTCTGTCTAATATCAGAGACAATCCAGCGAGACGTGTAACTCAATGTATTTTTTTTCTATGGTAAAAGTTATTTGGGCGATTGTAACCACAACCAGTCTATGATGGCGCCACTAGTAAATAGCGGGAAAATTAAAAATGCTTTAGGGCGGGAAATTCAAACATGGATTCAGAAATAAAGTTTTTCTATACAAATTTACAGGAGAAACAAAAACTATTGTTTCACTGTATATTAAAAAAATATAAAAGCTTCCAATAACATCAAATTTTTTATCACATAAATAATTATTTTAATAAAGGAAGTTTTAATCAGTTTAATATAAACAGTGAACATAGTTTTTATTACTCCTGTAAATTTCGCTAAAAAAAAACTTGAAAATTCTATTGATTATTAAATATTTAAACTTGGAAAAATAATACACCAAACTCTTTTTCTATAAATTATATTTTTGTAAGGTACAGAAAAACAAACTACAATTGCTTCGTTTAGAAAGTACCTCCTATCATTTTGTGACAAATTACAAAGAAAGTAACAGTTGTTATATATTCATAATATATTTAAAAACAAATGTAACAAATATTTTATAAAGTATAGTATCGATACCTTTTTGCCAGACTATCATAAGTGCCATTTGAACAAATGTCACTTATGTTAGTCTCGCAAAAAGGTATGGATATGTTATGACTGTTTATTTTAATAGAAACCATGGAAACGAAACACACATACACTCAACACAAATGTATAAGGCCCGAGTCAAGTAAGTTACCATCCTGTAAACTGGATCGAAACCTGCTAGACCCCTGCTAACTCCTCTTATAGTAATCAAGATCAATATATTTATATGCCATGCCTTCTAAAAGGGAATGAAGGATGACATTTTATCATCATTTAAACAGGACGTTGCTGAAGGCTTACCCCTGTTATTTCGTTTGTGTATCTTGTGTGTGTGCATTCCTGTTGTGTCCCCAGTCATGTAAAAGTTTTCCTAGTCTCCTA